AGCCGGCGCGGTAGGTCCGGGCTCCCCCTCCCCCTCCCGGGTGGGGAGGGTTGCGCGGACGATCGGCGCGGCAGTAAAGTGTGATGTTTGCTTGTTTCCTTGGGATTGTAGGGAGTTTTCTACCTCTCTGTTCGGTTTTTTGTTGTAGTTTCTTACCATGTGGGGTTTGTTTTGTTACGCCTACCTTTCTGGGTGCCTAACCCCGGTCGATGGCAGATAAGGAAAATCCCCAACCATATGGGGTTTTCCAGGGCCATTGCTCCCTGAAACCTCTCTGAAGGGGCCAGGTTCTGGCGCTGGTCCCTGGTAGGTCTGAACTCCTTAGCTAATGTCCCGGTCTAACATAACATACATTAGCCCGATAAGCTCCAGGGAGCCTCCGGGGCTCACCCAGAAAATGGCGTTTCATTACATTCAACGCTGGTTTTTTAGGTCCAGATAGATGCAGTCAACCCAACCATCTCTTTCCTGTAATATCTCTGTTGCTCGATCATAGAAACTGAGTAAATTCGATACACAGGATCTTCCAGATCGAAAACCATACTGTCTGTCTGATATTATATCATTTCTCTCCAGGTGTTCTACCCATTTAGTTTTGATTAGTTTTTTCAATACTTTCACTATTACACTTGTCAATGATACAGGTCTATAATTGAGGGGGTCTTCCCTGCTGCCACTTTTGTAGATTGGAACTATGTTAGTCTGTTTAAACACATCTGCTACGATTCCTGTACACAGGGATGCCTGAAAGATCAGGTGAAGTGGAATGCTGAGCTCAGATGCACATTCTCTCAGAACCCATGGTGAAACTCCATCTGGACCAGCTGCTTTGTTCTTACTGAGCTCCTTTAGCATATTTTCCACTTCATCTCTAGACACCTCTATACGCTCTATGTTGTTCTCTGGAATTCTTATTGTGTCTGGTTCTCTGAAGGTTTCATTTTATACAAACACACTTTGGAAAACTTTTCATTTAATGTTTCACATATTTCCTTTTCATTTTCTGTGAATCTGTTTCCCATTGTGTCGACACGTGGGCGTTGACTCGCTGAACGACGACTTAAACATATGCGCCTAAAGTTCTGTTAAATCCCATTTTATTTTCTTGTAAATATTTAAATTAATCAATAGCAAACCAAATACTTTACTGTTCTGTTCAACTACTGTATTATAGTGTGTTATTTAATTAATATTCGTAACTATCTCTCCACAGCATTAGAAAACAATATAATTCTTGCAACACCTCTAAAGCCACCTTTCTTGGTTTGGCTTGAGCTTAAGCAAGTCACATACACACTCAACAGTTCTCCCTTCCTCCCTGACCGACTCACTCCCTCCCTCCCTCCCTGACCGACTCCCTCCCTCCCTCCCAGTCCAACTCCCTCTCTCCCTTCCTGACCAACTCCCTCCCTCCCTCCGTTTCTGTCCGACTCCATCCCTTCCTGTCCGACTCCCTCCCTCCCTCCGTTTCTGTCCGACTCCATCCCTTCCTGTCCGACTTCCTCCCTCCCTCCCTGACCGACTCCCTTCCTCCCTCCCTCCCTGACCGACTCCCTCCCTCCCTCCCTGACCGACTTCCTCCCTCCCTCCCTGACCGACTCCCTTCCTCCCTTCCTGTCCGACTCCCTCCCTCCCTTCCTGTCCGACTCCCTCCCTCCCTTCCTGTCCGACTCCCTCCCTCCCTTCCTGTCTGACTCCCTCCCTCCCTTCCTGTCCGACTTCCTCCATCCCTCCCTGACCGACTCCCTCCCTCCCTGACCGACTCCCTCCCTTCCTGTCCGACTCCCTCCCTCCCTCCCTCCCTCCCTGACAGACTCCCTCCCTCCCTCCCTGACCAACTTCCTCCCTCCCTCCCTGACCGACTCCCTCCCTCCCTCCCTGACCGACTTCCTCCCTCCCTCCCTCCCTGACCGACTCCCTCCCTCCCTCCCTCCTTGACCGACTTCCTCCCTCCCTCCCTCCCTCCTTGATCGACTCCCTCCCTCCCTCCTTGACTGACTCCCTCCCTCTCTCCCTGTCCAACTTCCTCCCTCCCTCCCTGACCGACTCCCTCCCTCCCTGACCGACTCCCTCCCTGACCGACTCCCTCCCCTCCCTCCCTGACCGACTCCCTCCCTCCCTCCCTGACCGACTCCCTCCCTCCCTTCCTGACCGACTCCCTCCCTCCCTTCCTGACCGACTCTCTCCCTCCCTTCCTGACCGACTCCCTCCCTCCCTTCCTGACCGACTCCCTCCCTCCCTCCCTGACCGACTCCCTCCCTCCCTTCCTGACCGACTCCCTCCCTCCCTCCCTGACCGACTCCCTCCCTCCCTCCCTGGCCGACTCCCTCCCTCCCTCCCTGGCCGACTCCCTCCCTCCCTCCCTCCCTGGCCGACTCCCTCCCTCCCTCCCTCCCTGACCAACTCCCTCCCTCCCTGACCGACTCCCTCCCTCCCTCCCTGACCGACTCACTCCCTCCCTCCCTCCCTGACCGACTCACTCCCTCCCTCCCTCCCTGACCGACTCCCTCCCTGACCGACTCACTCCCTCCCTCCCTGACCGACTCACTCGCTCCCTCCCTGACCGACTCCCTCCCTCCCTCCCTGACTGACTTCCTCCCTCCCTGGCCGACTTCCTCCCTCCCTGGCCGACTCCCTCTCTCCCTCCCTCCCTCCCTGTCCGACTCCCTCCCTCCCTCCCTTTCTGTCCGCTTCCCTTTCTGTCCGACTCCCTCCCTCCCTTCCTCCCTCCCTCCCTCCCTTTCTGTCGGACTCGCTCCCTCCCTCCCTTTCTGTCGGACTCGCTCCCTCCCTCCCTTTCTGTCGGACTCCCTCCCTCCCTGACCGACTCCCACCCTCCCTGACCCACTCCCTCCCACCCTCCCTTTCTGTCTGCCTCCCTCCCTCCCTTTCTGTCTGACTCCCTCCCTCCCTCCCTTTCTGTCGGACTCCCTTTCTGTCCGACTCCCTCCCACCCTCCCTTTCTGTCTGACTCCCTCCCTCACTCCCTGACCCACTCCCTCCCTCCCTGATCGACTCCCACCCTCCCTCCCTGACCCACTCCCTCCCTCCCTGACCGACTCCCACCCTCCCTCCCTGACCCACTCCCTCCCAACCTTCCTGACCGTTATCCCCCAGGTGATCCCTCCCAACGCTCCCCTCTCTCCCGACACCACCCACCCACCCCACCCCTTCTACACCATGGGCCTGGAGCCACAGCCAGACGGGATTAATACGGTATGGCCACCGCCTGGCTTTCGTATCCGGCCAAACACACGCTTTTCCGGCTCCCATGGACATTTTGGCCAGATAGTGAGATAACTTTATCCGGCCACGATTTTAACCCGATAACGGCGTTTTCCGGATGGTCAGATTCCGCATAATTGTGTGTCTTCAGTGCATGTTAAACTATATATGTTCACTGTATGAACATCAGAGGTCCACGGTTGTTCAACGTCCTACCAGCGAGCATCAGAAATATTACAGGAACAACCATGGACATCTTCAAGAGGAAACTAGATTGTTTCCTCCAAGGAGTGCCGGACCAACCGGGCTGTATGTGGGCCTGCGGGCCGCTCCGAGCAACAGCCTGGTGGACGAAACTCTCACAAGTCAATTCTGGCCCCGGGCCGGGCTTGGGTAGTAGAAGAACTCCCAGAACCCCATCAACCAGGTATCAAATAGGTATATCCAGGTGTTACGAGATGCCATTTTGATGCAGTATATAGTATGATAATGCATTTTTATTGTATACAAGAAAAAAAGACACTGAGGCAAATGCCTCCTGGAGACATCACCTCTTGCAACGAATTCATCACCACAACGAACCAGAGTTGGTCCCATATGGTTCGCCGAAACGAGGTTGCACTGTATTTGGGCTTCGAGGGGCTTGACATTCTAAGAGGGTTCTGGCTGCCCAACATTTGAACAATATACCTGGGCACAGTTTATCATGTGTTGCTTTTGCCTCTCTTTCCCCAGCCAGGGTTCTCTTCTTCATTCCAGTACCTGTTGCCTCTCTTATACCTGGTAAGTCCAGTTTTTGTTCTCCGTGGTTAATTTTGGGGAGCCACCAAGAGGTTGCTGCATAAATCCAGCATTAAACATAATGAAATGCCTCTTTCAGGTAGGTCCCTGGTGGCTCCCTTATTCCTTTCCTTCTCTCCATGTTTGTTGGTTTGTCTATGAATTGTTCGTCAACTCCTGAAACTGACCTGGAGAGCTGGCTGTGGGTAGCTGTTGGGCTGCCTGGTGGTGGTAATCAAGACTAACGAGTTTCGAACCAGTTTAGATAATATGCTTGTCAAGGAGCATCATTTGCTGAGTTGTTTGGCGGTTTTGTGGCATTGTCTTCTGTGAACCCTCCAACTTTCTATAAAACCTCACTGATTTTCAGGATGCTTTCCTGGTTGCACAGTAAATTGTCACTCCCTGCACCTCTGAGAGTGAAGGGGACCAGTTTCTGATTCTGGTCCCTGGTAGGCCAGTCAGAACTTCATGACTGATGTGACCCAATAGCATGAAGCAATCTAAGCAAGATAACTTCATGGAGCCACCAGGGGGGGCACTATCAGAAAGAGGCATTTCATTATATTCACCTTCAGGTTTTCCATGACAGGTTGGGTGTAGTTTCACCAGGCATTGGGTTCCTATGTTAGGGTGACCTGAGCAGTGCACTTAGGAGGCCCACTGAGCTCCTTCCACTTGTGCTTGCAAGTGACCACTTACTCAGATGAAACAGCTTGAATTGAATGTTTTGGTTCCTACGTGTCCAATTTCCAGATTGATGACTGAAGCATTGCATTAATGTAGTAAACATATGTAAATGATTTAGAGGGTGCTTATGTTAAGGATGCTTACTTATGCATTTGAAGTAATCAAGCCATTTTGTAAAGTTACTTTTGTCTTGAGACAAGTATACAACCTAGAAAAGTGGTCTAGCTATCTCTTTGATTGCCCTTGGCAACTAACAAATATCTAATTAATAAAACCTCTTCATTATTTCGTTCCATGTTTAGAAATTTTAATTTCTTTTAATTGTCTATTTCTAGGTGACGACTTTGACATGGATAAACCCAGAAATAAAGAGATGAAAGAAAAGTTCACTTCTGTAAGTTACTGGTGCATAATTGTGTGTTATAGTAGATGACAGCATTAGAACTTTTCTTCATGTTGTGTACTGTACAATATAATAATCATTGCAATGTGGCATTAATTTTCATAAAATAATTTTAATGTAGTGGACATTATTGCTAAGGAGTGCTTTAATAGCATAGTTATTACTTAGGTAGCACATACAATGTTAATGTAATGGAGAAATTACTTAAGTAGTTCGTCATGTAGTTACAGCTTTTCATCCCATTTAATGAAATTGCCAGTTTTAGCACCAGTATCCACTCGATTTAACGGCCTCTTATTTACCAATCTGCCGGTTCTAACGACCGGTTTGGGAGACTGGTATCTGGAGCCTCATATACCTGTCTGGCGGTTGATAGAACCGTAGGTCGGTATTGGGTTTGTTTTGGTATCACGGGGGGCCCTCACATGGCAAGCTGGCCGCTGACCTCTATTGTCCCCTCCCTCACCCTCACTCCTGCTCTCCCCCACACCCTCACTTCCTCCCCCCCCCCCCCCACAAGAGACCCTTCAGGGAGGTGACTCAGTAGATTGCCAGCCAGACAGCCTGGAGAATCTCCATCTAATATTATAAAGTATTTATGAAACAAGTATTTTTTATTACTTTTTTTTTGTCCTAATAATATTACTAAACAAAATCTGTAACCAAAAATATATATGATGTACATCCAATATTTAAGAAATAAATCTGGCTAATGGGGTCAAGGGTGTTAGGCTTATCAGAGTGAGCCGGTCCCCCCCCCCCCCCCTACATCCCATACACATGTGTGGCCACGTCTGTGGTAGAAAATAATAATAATAAAAAAAAAACTGCTGCAAGGTCACGTAGTTCATCTTGACACCCCTCCCTCCATCCATCTATCCCTCCCTCCCTCCCTCCATCCATCTATCCATCCCTCCCTCCCTCCTTCCATCCATCCATCCATCCATCCCTCCTTCCATCCATCGATCCCTTTATCCATCCATCCCTCCCTCTATCCATCCATCGATCCATCCATCCCATTATTCATCCATCCATTTCTCTATCCATCCATCTCCATCCTCTCCCTCCCTCCCTCCCTCCCTCCCTCCCTCCCTCCCTCCCTCCCTCCCTCCCTCCCTCCCTGCCTACCTCCCAGCCTCTTCCTGCCTGCCTGCCAACATTTCAGCCTCTCCACCCCTGCCTGCCTGCCCATCCACCCACCAGTCAGCCATCACTGACACAATGAGTGCATTTGGAGCCGACATGGTGCACGAATGTTCCTTGATTGTGCCGATATGTCCAACAAAGTCAAGGAATGAACACTCCAGCCTCTTGACAAATCAAAACAATGTGCCGTGAATCTGTGACGTCACAGGGTAGAAGGCACTAGAGTGGTGGACCAAGTGGCTCTCTGTACAAAATACATCTTACCTGAATGTTACTTGAAATATTACCGACACTTAACAACATCGGAAATACCGGAGCCCCGCATTTAACGACCTGAGTACAGTCCCATATAGGCCGTTAAATCGAGTGGATACTGTTCAACTTGAATGGAGGCACCAATTACAGAAACCCTCACAGCTTAAACATCTGTTATGTATTTTCATAGTACTTAAGTTTGGCATATAATCATCTTGAATTAATCATTATTAATTTTTTATGATCAGAAAGGAACAAAGAAGAAGGAATCGGATTCTTTGAGCTCAATGTTCGTTAGTGCTGAGAGCTTTGCACATATGCTTGAAGAAAATGCTGATGGGATGATGAATCCCATAACAACCCAATCATTAGCAAATAAGGACCGAGCAAGTAAGTTTCATTTATATGTATATTCTGAGGGGGGGAGGCCCTCATTAGCTTCCCTAGCTAAAGTACTCACACTTCTAAAGCTTAGAGAATCACACAAGGCCTCTGAGACCCTCTGTCAAGCCAACTAAAGGGCCAGTATTACAAAAATTTATTTATTTTTACGAGGGCCCCCCTCCCTGTCTGGCCGTTGTCACCGTGAGGGGGCTTAGAGGGCAGCTGCCTGCGTGTGATGCTCCATAGGTCAGTCCTCTTTTTGCAGCCTTATGCTCCTGCTGCTGTCTTTACCAATTGTGCCAGGCATCTTTTCCTTTTCCTTGTGTTTCATTTTTCTCCCCCCTCTTCTATCAAATTGTCATTTCCCACCGACCTTTTGCCTGTTTTGATCATTCTTCAGCCTTCTTTTGTTTTGACGCCCAGGTGTTTGAGGAGGCATACTCTTGCACCCGTAGAACTGTAGTACCCAACGTCTCGAGCGAGGGGACACTTTTATTGTCAGTCCTCCTTTCGTCACTGAACCCAATCTCAACGGACTGGCAGTTCTTAACCTTTTAGTTGCGCAAGACATCATATGATGCATTGAATGACTTGCAGTAACTTGCGCTCGGCATCATATGATGTTTTGGAGTACTATGCAAGATTTAAACGGCCCGCGGATACATGGGGTTCACCACACCTTCACCAGGGCTCTTGTAAACAGACGCCATTTAAAAAAATATCGTGGGCCAAATTCCCAGGTGTGAGGGGGCCTCAGTATTGAGTAACCCTGACGCGCACAGCATGAGCTCACAGCACTGCTGTTCAGCTTGTGACCACGGCATCTCCTAAAAAATGCCATTATATACATGTTCTTGCTATTATTTAGCGATGATAATACAGAAGACCCCTGACTGTGATAAAACTGACCAGGGTTCTGATAATAGCATGATTGGGGTTATATTTAGCACTGTGCTCCATGGAGGGAGGAGTAATGCTGTGGGAGGGAAGGGGAGGGGCATTGTCTTCTGACTGTGTGTGGCCATCTTTTATTGACTGCACTCACCATACCAGCTTAGTGGTTTGCTATGGTGAACACAAATGTAGATACTTATATATAACATGTGTATAGAGTGTAATAACAGCAATAGGAGTAGGTTGGGAGCCGCCATTTTGGTGAGGGAGGTGCGTCGTCTGCATGACTTATCATGTTGTTTACTGGTGACCACTAAGGTCTTTGGGCACCATACCAGCTTACTTGTACAAGTATGGTGAATAAAACGGGTAGATACTTATATATGTGTGTATATAGCGTAATAACACCACAAACAGTATTGGAGGAGGAGAAATATTTGTGTGTCTGGCCTTGAGGGCGGCCGCCACCAGCTGACTTTGTGAGTAGCTACGTCTTTGTGCCTTTACTCACCATACAAGCTTAGATGTACAGTTATGGTGAACAAAACATGTAAATACTTATATATAACATCTATATAAAAGCAAAAACAGTATGGTGGGAGGAGAATGTGGGTGAGTGAGGTGTTGAGGGAGTGAATGGCAGCAAGTGGCTGGCTGGTGTGTGGCGGTCACTCCTCGTTACTTTTTGACTCATAATAGCAACTTAGTGGTTCGTTATGGAGAACAAAACATGCAGATACTTATATATAACCTGTGTATATAGTGTAATAACCGACAAAGTATTTGTTCATTGTTTGATGAACATAATAATTGAGTCAACAATATGCACACCTATATTTTTGAGTACAGTGATGATTCACTCATATTATTATATAAATATATCACACTACACACTATTGAATAATATTACAGCAAAAAAAAAATAAGAAAAATCAGTCAGAGACATTGAAATAATTAGGTAATTATCTCGTTGTGGCCACTCCTGTCTGACAGCTGGCGAGCAACAGACCGTCTGGGACGCACTTTGAGTCAGCGCCTGTTTTCTGTGGGAGCCCATACGGCTCCCTGGAGCTTATCGGGCTAATGTATGTTATTTTAGACCGGGACATTAGCTAAGGAGTTCAGACCTACCAGGGAGCAGTGCCAGAACCTGGCCCCTTCAGAGAGGTTTCAGGAAGCAATGGCCCTGGAAAACCCCTTGTGGTTGGGGTTTTCCTTAACTGCCATCGACCGGGGTTAGGCACCCAGAAAGGTAGGCATAACAAAACAAACCCCACATGGTAAAAAACTAAAACAAAAAAACGAACAGAGGTAGAAACTCCCTACAATCCCAAGGAAACAAGCAAACAAGCAAAACATCACACTTTTCTGCCGCGCCGATCGTCCGCGCAGCCCTCCCTGCCCCGAGAGGGGGAGGGGGGAGCCCCGGACCTATCGTGCTGGTTGCTTCAGTTTGTAAGCTTATGTCAACCGGGATAGACGCTTCTTTGGCCTCAGTTTCCTAGGCGGTGTTTGCCTTGTGTGGCGTTCACTGCCGTGTGTTGTGTTGTGTGGTGGCCAGGAGTACCTCATCAGTGCCGGGGCTGCATGTGCTTAGGGGATTCCTTCCCCAAGCGCCCTGTGAGTACTGCCCCTGCGTGACGGGGTTATCTTCCCTGGGGCGTTCGGGAACCATTCCCGTAGAGGTTCTTGCTCCTCGGAATTTGCCTTGCCCTTGGGGCCAGCTGGGGCTTGGGGCCCTTGTTTGGCCCTGGGTAGGGACTGGTATTGTGCTGGTTAGGGTGTCAAGGTGTTGTGCGACCTGCCACCTAAGCGGCGACCGGTTCCTTTTGCCTCTGAAGACGGTGTACTTTTGCAGGGTTTTTCTTTTTTTATTTTCATTTGCCTGGTGGGGTGGGGTCTGCCTAGTGTGGCTATAGTTCCACTGGTAGTGTTTGGTGGCCCTCTGCTAGGCCCCCGTGATTGTACACGTTGCAGGGGTTTTCGGTGTTGTCTCTACCCCCATGTTATTTTTGGGTGTTTAACCGGTTAGCAACACCTTGCCCAGGCTTCCCGTAGTTGTTATCCTTACGGGCCCTGGAAACCCCTGTCGGGGCTCGGTGGACCATTGAATGTGTGTTCTGGGTCCCAACCCGTCTTGTACGGGATCGTTGGTTGCTGTGCTTTGTCTCCGGGTGACAGTCTCCAGTTTTTACCTCCGTCATGTTGCCTGTTGGGTCACTGACACCTTGACCCGGAGTCTTGTGAGAGAGATTCTCTGCTTGTTCTCCAGTTCTCTCCTGGTGTTATTACTGTTCAGAGTACAGGCCGCATCCGTGTTGCAAGCTAGGTTAGGTTGCTGCAACACGCTAGGTTGGTTTCCCACTTGGATGTCCCGGGGCCGCCCCATTTTGGTTAGGTGCTGTTTGCCCCTTTCCCTCCCTGTTCCCGGCTCCGGACCGTTTGCGGGTTTCGGGGTCGGGGCAGGGTTTAGTTGAGGCCGAGACTCGGGCGGTTTCGGGTGCTGCCCCGTTCGGGTTTGGGACAGGTTTTCAAGCCTGTTCCTTCTGCCAAGGCTTCTGGGTCTTACCAGTGGCCCTTTCTTGCTGCCTTTCCCATGGACTCTTACTTTCTTTAAGGGCGGAGAGCTTGGAGGACGGCTCTACCCTGGGGCCTCTTGCTGGTTCCCGGGGCTGTGGGGAATGCCTGCTAGCAGTTCTGGGGTGGTTTGCCCCTGCTTGGGTTTTCTGCTTCTGGGCGGAGTTTTTTGCCCATCCAGTCTGCTTGCTTCCCACTTTTTCTGGCGTGTTTTCGTATCTTTTGCGTCGGCCACAGCCCTCTGTTCTGTTGGCCGTTTTCTTCTGCCAGTTTCCCGGCATGGCCACCAGGGTCGGCGTTGCGGTTTGTTTACATGCGCCTGGGTGTGCGAGCGAGTGTCTTGAGTGAGTTTTAAGCCTTTTTCAGGGGTTTTATTCTCCTGTTGCCTTTTCTTTGCTTTTCTGGTGTTTTCTGCCCGTTTCCTGTTCCTCTCGGAATGTTCGAGTGTTGATTTTACACCAGGTTTTCCGTTTTGTCTGTTTTGGGTCTCGGCCCTTGGGTTTGGGCTCAGTGTCCCTGTCTGTTATGCTTGCTCCCACACCTTGTCCCTCGGTTTTCGGTCTGTTTTGACCGTTTCCCTGGGGGTTTCTGTCTGGGGCTGTGCTTTGCCTTTCTGTGGTGTATCTCCGCCAGCAAATGTGGTGGTTTGGGCTCCCCCTGGTTCAATTCCGGGTTCCTTTGGGTTCCTTGGTTTCGTTCCAGAGGTTTCTTCTTCTTGGGCCCCCTTTGTGGGGTTCAGGGGGCTTTGTTTCCTCGTGTGTGACCCGGTTCTTCATTCCCAGGTCTTCCTGGCTTTGTGTATGTATATGTCTGTGTATATACATAAAATATATATACTGTATATAATATATATATATATATATATATATATATATATATATATATATATATATATATATATATATATATATATATATATATATATATATATATGTATATATGTATGTATGTATGTGTGTATATATATATATATATATATATATATATATATATATATATATATATATATGTCGTACCTAGTAGCCAGAACTCACTTCTCAGCCTACTATGCAAGGCCCGATTTGCCTAATAAGCCAAGTTTTACTGAATTAATATATTTTCTCAATTTTTTTTCTTATGATAAAGCTACCCATTTCATTATGTATGAGGTCATTTTTTTTTATTGGAGTTAAAATTAACGTAGATATATGATAGAACCTAACCAACCCTACCTAACCTAACCTAACCTATCTTTATAGGTTAGGTTAGGTTAGGTAGCCGAAAACGTTAGGTTAGGTTAGGTTAGGTAGGTTAGGTAGTCGAAAAAACATTAATTCATGAAAACTAGGCTTATTAGGCAAATCGGGCCTTGCATAGTAGGCTGAGAAGTGAGTTCTGGCTACTAGGTACGACATATATATATATATATATATATATTTTATTAAATATGACCGAAAAAGTAAGATTAATAATTCTAACACGAATTTTCTCAATCTTTCGTACATTATGCTTCACTGTTGGAGGTAAATCAAAAATCACTTCTCCAAAATTCATTTTTATTTCTAGTCTGACGCGACACGGGCGCGTTTCGTAAAACTTATTACATTTTCAAAGACTTCACAAATACACAACTGATAGGAACTTGCGTTTCCCTGATTTTATATCTACATTTGAGTGAGGTGGGAAGGGTGATGTGGCA